AACCACTAGGAAGAATGTATGCAATGTGTTAACTATTGAAACTGTCCTACCAATTTAATTTGAAACTGTCTCATTGCTATTTGTTTATCAATAAAATTATGGAAAAAAAAAAGAAAAATAGAGCAGTATTTCCCAACTAAGACATAGCTAAGATGTATGCCATGGTCTGTGTCTCAGTGTCCCCACAAAGCCTGAGCATGCCATGGGGAATCAGACTTCTGGGAGATAGCTGAGTCTAAAGTTTATGACTGATTCATGGTCCAATCCTGGGATTAAGGATGTGAGTGCTACACCCATCCTAGAAGTTAGCCCACAAATAATATAAGGGACAGAAAAAGGCTTGTTTCTCTCTCATTTGTTGCTTTTGCTGTTTTACGTGTACCATGAATTGCTCTTCTCTTTGAAGCCATCCTGCCTGGGAGCCAGCCAAGCATGGACTAGAAACCTCTACAAATTGTGAGCAAAGGGGTCAGGGAGATGGCTCAGTGGAATAAGTGCTTCCCTGGCAAGCGCATGGGCCTGATTTCAATCCCCAGTTCTGGGGGGGGGGGGGGAAGTGAGCTAATAAACCTTTTCTCCTTTATGTGCAAGAGGAGGACATGGACTTTGTGTGAGTGCTACACCCCCAGCCACAGGGCAGTATTGTTTAAAATATAAAGAGGGGACAGAAGCTTGCTAGAGGCCGCAGCTGCTGCCCCTCCCTTTGTTCTTTGCTCTTTTCTGCTGCCATGAACTGCTGCTCTCTGCCACGTGCCACTCTGCCTGGGAGCTGGCTGAGCATAGACTGAAACCTTCACAAACTGCGAGCTAAATAAACCTTTCCTTCCTTAATGAATAAATAAATAAATAGGGGGCCAGGGAAATGGCTCAGTGGAATAAGCACTTCCCTGGAAAGTGTAAGGGCCTGAGTTCAATCCCTGGTTCCACCAAAAATAATAATAATAATAATAATAATAATAATAATAAATAAACCGGACATGCTGGTGCACACCTGTAATCCCAGATCTGGGGAGGCTGACACAGGAGGATCACCACAAGTCCATGCCATGTAATAAGACCCTGTACCAAATACATAAATAAATAATTTTTTTAAAAAAAGGCAAAGGGGCTTGCAGGTTAGCTCACTTGCTTAAAGCACCTGCTTAGGCAAACTCAGTCAGGCGCAGGTGACTGCAGTTCGATCTCCAGCTCCACATGCCATACCAGACCCACCCTTAAGGCAGTCTGTGCCAGCCAAAAAAAAAAGGCCAGTTTGAACTGCATAGTGAGATCCTGTCTAAAAAATAAAAATAAGAGTCAATCAAGGGCTGGTGAGATGGCTCAGTGGTCTAAAGCACCTACTTAGAACAAGCTGAGCAAAGCACAGGGACTGCGGTTCAATCCCCCAGCACCACATGCCAGCCAGCCCCGCCTCCTGGTGGGCTGAGCTGGCCACACACACACACACACACACACACACACACACACACACACGTAAATAAACTAAAAAAGAAATATATTTTTTTTAAAAAAAGAGTCAATCAATGGACTAACTGCCTACTTAGGCAAGCACAGGGACCAGAGTTCAAACCCAGGCACCACATGCCCCACCAGCCCTGCCACTGGGGAGGCTGAAAACAGGAGGATCACTATGTGTCCAAGCTATGTAGTGAGACCCTGTACCAAATACATTCAAAAATTAAAGAAATAAATTTAAAAATTAAAAGAAAGGGCCAGGGAGATGGCTCAGTGGAATAAGCGCTTCCCTGGCAAGCGCAAGGGCCTAAGTTCAATCCCTGTTTCCGCAAAAAAAAAAAAAAAAAAAAAAAAAGAAAAGAAAGAAAAAGAAGAAAGAAAGAAAAGAAAAAAGAATAGCCAAAGGGAGAATCTAGAGTATTTGTCACATGGCTTCTAATTCTACTGTGATAGGAAAGCAATGGGATGGGGGTGTTGCTCAGAAGTGGAATGGGTTCAGTCTGCACTGGGGAGGGAATTATTAGAGCGCTCGCTTTCTCTCTGTCTCTCTGTCTCTCTGTCTCTCTCTCTCTCTCTCTGTCTCTCTCTCTCTCTCTCTCTCTTTTTTTTTTTTAGACAGGTCCTCACTATGTAGCTGAGGCTGGCCCCAAAGTTGCAGCAATCATCCTGCCTCAGCCTTCTGAGCTTGGAGATTCAGGCATGGCTCAAGACTCCTTTTGAAATGTCCTCTGCTGCTGCTTCGGAAGGCTGTTGACACAACGGTGCTCTGCCTTAATCCACTGTGATATATGGAGATAAATATAAACTTTAAAGCAATATTATGGGCCAGCCAGACAGCTCAGCAGACTAAAGTGCCTGCTTAGGCAGAGCACAGCGGCCGGGATTCCAAATGCCAGCCCCACCCCTGGGGTGCACAGAGTCGGCGGCGATTGTAGTGGCGCTCACCTGTAATCCCAGCGCTTGGGAGGCTGAAAACAGGACAATCACTGTAAGTCTGACCTATTTTATGAGATCCTGAAGACCCTGAAGACCTGTACTAAATGCATTTTTTTTAAAAAGCAATGTAACAAAATCCACTAAACCATTATAAAGCGAAATCATAGCCAAGTGACCAAACACATGATTTTTCTTTTTTTTTTTTTTTAATTTTATTTGTGTGTGTGTGTGTGTGTGTGTGTGTGTGTGGCCAGCTCAGCCCACCAGGGGGCGGGGCTGGCTGGCATGTGGTGCTGGGGGATTGAACCGCGGTCCCTGTGCTTTGCGAAGCTTGTTCTAAGTAGGTGCTCCAGACCACTGAGCCATCTCACCAGCCCATAAACACATGATTTTTTCCTAGCAGAAGGAATTAGCTTTCTCTATTTTAATTGTATTACTCTTTTGCATTTGACTGATAAGCTATTTCTGGCATTTGCATAGAAGCAGAGTATCTCTAAACAGTTTATAAACCCGGAGAGGGGCCAGGGAGATGGATCAGTGGGATAAGCACTTCCCTGGCAAGCGCAAGGGCCTGAGCTCAATCCCTGGTTCTGGAAAAAAAAAAAAAAAAAAAAACAGAGAAAACTATGCACATGGTACCAGCTTTAATCACTTCTCAATATTCTTGATAATAAACCAGGGTAACGGTAGAGTCACAGGTGGCTCTGAGCACTGGCCCATGGACAGATTCGCCCTCAGAGGAGACTGGCACCAGCACGCATGGAGGTGGAGAAGCCCACAGAGGCCGTGCTGGGCTCAGCAGGCGCCTCATCCCAGCCTGCCCCATCCACACTCCCAGGTGGGCTCCCTCCGTGGTGCTGCCCACCCTCCCCTCCATGCCCCACACCTGGCTGAGGAATTTCTTAGTGTGAAAAGCATAGCCCCCACAGCAGCAGGGCTCTGTGGGTAGAAACAGGTCATAGAACAAAGAGGCCCCAGCAGTGCTGGCCTCTCCACAACTCACCTCCAACAGAAGCTGTGGAGACCAGGGCTCTGGGAATCTCATGTTAAATGCCCTATCAAAAGCATCCTGATCTTCTCAAGGGAAAACGTCACACATTTAGTACAAAACAGATCACTTAAGTGTTATATATATAATGATAAATCATGCCAGGCATGGCAGCACACGTCTGCCATCCCAGCACTCAGGAAGCTGAGGCAGGAGGACCTCAAAAAGTTCAAGGCCA